TCGCATTCGTGAGCATTTCTTGGACCCCCCTGCATGGCCGATCTTTCAATATGTATTCGCACCGCGCTCGGGTGGTTATCGGCGCTGAGAGTGGGCTGAGGCAGGCGGCTGCAACAACAGGTGCGCCTTCGGGACTCGTCAGTGCTTTGGCCTCGGCGGTCAGAGTGCCAGTCTGCGGGCCAGCGGGCGGTACGCTCGGGACTCGGGGGAGGAGGAGGAGGAGGAGGAGTGGTGGTGGGACGCTGACATGGGACCTGGGTCCGAGTTCAACTGCTGGCCTCAGAACTTACTCCTCCTGATCTGTAAGAGGAGGGAAGCAAGAGGCGGGGCCGGCCTGGAAGTGGCCCGCGAAGGTGAGGGTGCCGCGCCAGGGGGCTCTCCTACGGAGCTCCTCCTCGCGATGCGCCTCGCGACGCGCCTCGCGTCGGCGCTTGGCCTCCGCCCTGTTGGCAGCGATGCGGCTAAGCTGCTCCGGGGAGAGACACGGAGGGAGAGGCAGCGGCAGCGGCGGCGGCGGGGGAGAGTGCTTTGGCCTCGGCGGTCAGAGTGCCAGTCTGCGGGCCAGCGGGCGGTACGCTCGGGACTCGGGGGAGGAGGAGGAGGAGGAGGAGGAGGAGGAGGAGGAGGGAGGAGGAGGAGCTCTTCACCCTTTGGCGTCTTGGCCTCGGCGGCCAGCTTCTCGTCGCGGGGCAGGCGCTCGAGCCAGAGCAGCAGCAGCATGGCTGCCGCGCGCTGGGGCGTCGAGCTGGCGGTGCCGGCGGGAAGAGGTGCGCCGACGATGGCGCAATGATTCCCCTCAAATGACGCGCTCGACAAGAAGAAGAGCGGGTGGGCGAATGTACGAACTCGGGCGTGAGGTGCGCCGACGATGGCGCAATGATTCCCCTCAAATGACGCGCTCGACAAGAAGAAGAGCGGGTGGGCGAATGTACGAACTCGGGCGTTGCGCTGCGTTGTCCATTGTCTTATTGGCTGAACTGGTATCATAGTGTCGCTACTTGTTCTCCTCTCCACGTCTTCTTCTGCTACTACTGCTTCCGCTGCTGACCCGTCACTCCGCGCAACTTTGCGCAACCGAAAAGCTGTCGGGTATAGCCAGGACCCAAGGTAAGGGAACCCAGTTAGAATAGGGCCCCAGAGTCCCTAAAGTGGTCAGCATCACTAGACCAGGTCTGCCGTAGCTGGTGTTTTTTTCCGGGTGACGGCAGTTCCGGTTAGTGGAACGGGGCGGGGGGGGCGTTCTTCAGTACACCTCAGGCGATGCTTAAGAAAACCTAAGTTTTCGTCCAGAGTCTCGATTATTCTTAACTTTTCAATGTAAATCCCAAGATTTTGATAGAAGTTCTGGGTTTTATTCCATTTCTGAGACTATGAATTTCTTAACCCATGATTCCTTGAGCATTTCGCAGGGTGTACACATCACTAAACCAGGTCCCACTGAACCCAGTTCTGCCAACGCCCGAAACTGGCGAGTCTGAGAGGCCCGGGGCCTTTCCCCCACGCCTGCGCGCCTGCCTTCGGGGAGAAGGCCGCTGCCGTCGCCGCCAGCATCCGCCCGACCTACACCCTAGGCGATGCTTAAGAAAACCTAATTTTTCGTCCAGGGTCTCGATTATTCTTAACTTTTCAATGTAGATCCCAAGATTTTGATAGAAGTTCTAGGTTTTATTCCATTTCTGAGACTATGAGTTTCTTAACCCATGATTTCTTAAGCATTTCGGAGGGTGTAAACCAACCCCTGCCGCGCCCGAGCTGGACGACGCAACAGAAGCCCACGGCGTTGCCGACATAGACCCAACGTGCACGCGACACAGATGCCAACGATGGCCAACATCTAACTTCCCGGCCTTCACGAAACATGTGTCGGGGAACGAATCATGAAATAAACATGAAAACTGGGATGTTGGAGGATGTCTCGGATCGGCGCTGGAGCCCCCTGGCGGCGCCTCCAGCGCCGCCCCTGGCGCGCTACGCCCGCCAGGGGGGGGAATCCAACGCCGATCCGAGAAATCCGCGCGGACCTCCGAGTTGTTCTGTTTATGTCATTGCCTGTTTCCTTAAACGTGCACGTGACAAAAATGCACACGTTGGCCAACATATAATTTCCGGGCCTTAACCCAACAGACGTCTGCCCAGATAGATCCGCGCAGGGGCGGCTAGAAATTCCGACATCTCGCGCGGGCGGTCTCGATTGCAGCATGACGAGACGTAGTGACATTTCGCGATGGCGCCGCGCGAGCCGCCAGCATCCCTCTGGGCTCTCGCCAGAATCGCCTGAGCGTCACGGATTCTGCGCCGCGCGTTCCATAGCGCGCCAACAATCGCCCCATGCGACGCGACCTCGGCGTCGCTCCAAGCGCTGACCTTCAGAGCGCAGACCCATCATCGAATTGCATTAGCGACATGCGCTGGGAGTCGGTGTGGCAAGCGGCTCCGCAGCGCCTTCGGGGCACCCCTTCCGCTGTGGCCTTTTTCCACGTTGCCTCCGCGACAGCGGCGCGGGCCCGTAGCGACGCCGCGCATTCTGCGACGTCCCGTGCGAGCGCGCGCGCCTGTGAGGCCCGCGTGGTCGCGCGAACCCGGCGCGAGATGATGTTTGGTGCTCGCAGGCAGGGAGCCCCGCAGCCGCGGTTGGCCACGAGGTCGGCGAAGCCGGGCCCAGGCTTCTTGCTGAAATCTCGCCTAGGAAAGAGGCTGGGCCCGCAGGCCGCTCGGCACCTGGGAGCCGCCTCGCGGGCCTCTCTCCCGGCGCGAGGGTTGGAGGAGGAGGAGGAGGAGGAGGAGGAGGAGGAGGCACAAGGGAGGAAACGGGCGGCTTTCCAGGTTTTGCGATAGATGGCGCAGGAGGGCTCTGGGGCGTCTGCGAGTTCTGGCGGATGGGGAGACGAGGAAGGTAACGGAGGGAGGAACAGGAGAAGTGATGAAAGGGGGAAGAAAAGTGAGGTGGGCGAAGGGCGAACAGGAGAAATGAAGAGTGGAGAGATGTGGGAAGCGAGCAAACAATAGGGGGTAGGACGATTGAGGTTGATGAGCAATGGGGAAGAGACGAAACATACGGAGGAAAAGGGGCATGAGGAAAGACGAGGGGCAGGAAGAGAACATGGCATACACCCCGCAGCTGCTGATACGACTGAGTGCGCTCGACGGCGCATGCGGCGAAGCCCACCGCGCTCTTTTATCTTCCGTTCGATCCACCTATATCCATACATGTCAACGCGTGTATACATATATATATATATATATATGTGCATACATTTATACACATATATACATGTATAGGTATAGATGTGTATATATGTATATAGATGTGATTATGTGTGCTAGTCAGTGCAGGCCCAAACCAGCGCGTGTCTAACAATATATGTAGCCCAACCGATGTGATGCGAATTTCGTGGAGCAGTTCATATGGTGCAACCTACGTGGTGCACAGCATGTGGTGTAATCTCCATGTGGTGCAATCTCTATTAGGTGCAATCCTTATGTGGTGCAATCTATATGTGTTGCAGGTGCTTGTGATGCACTTCCCAGGTTTCTTGCAGCGACAAGGCGGCGACGGCGCGGCGATGGCGGCCACAGAGCCGCCAAACTAAAGACACGGCCCAGGCGACGGGCGGTGACGAGGCGGCGACGGGGCAGCGACGGCGACGACACAGCCGCCTAACCAAGTTTCAGGCCCTGACGACGGACCGCAACGGGGCGACAATCGCGAATACATAGCCGCCAAACCAAGTTTCAGGCCCGGTTCCCCAGAAAAGAAAGAATATTGAAGTGCAAGCATTGTTCGGGCACTATTTGTATTTACATGCAAAAGGCCTGGCGCAGGCGCGCATTTCTTCGAAGCGCTGTTCGTGGGTTGCGGATGGATCGTCGGCTGCAGGTTGCGGGCGGGTCGCGAGAACAGTCGCGGGCGGTTTGCGGGTGGGGCGGGCATTGGTCTCAAGACCGGACGCGGGCGGGTCGTGGGGCGGGGTCAACAATAAGAATACGAATCCGCGCCAGGAGAGCATATTTCAGCCACGCGCCCAGGGACTGCGCAAGGCCGCTCGGCCTCCTCACCCTAGCGACGGGAGGGGGAAGACGGACAAGAAAAGATGCGGGCAGCGGCGGGAGGAAGAGGCCCCTCAAAGCCTTGTTCAAGACAGCAAGTGAACAAGGAACAACGCCGAGAATCCCTTCCTCCGATGACGACGAATACGACAAAAACGGCGACGAGGAGATCCGACGACGGCGGCGACGTGGACGAGGACAAACTGTTTGTCGGCAGCGACAGCGGGCACTATTGCGTCGAGTGGCCGACGGGCCGCGTCGGAAAGAATCGAGGACGAACACGATGACAACAAAAAGGCGACGGACACAAGCGAGGACGAACACGATGACAGCAAAAAGGCGACAGTGACGACGACGACGACGACGACGACGACGACGACGACGACGACGACGACGACGACGACGACGACGACGACTACGACGACGACGATGGCCAAAGGTACGGAAAGGGCAAGAATATGAAAACAAAGCAAACAAGCAAAAACGACTATGGCGGCGTCGGCGTGAAGGTCGATGGCGTCAGCGGGCCACTCCGGCGCAAGAGTCCCCCTGCCGGCCCTCGCGGGTACGCCCTCCGAGCAGGCTCTCCTGGCCCCCCCTCCGAGGGAAGAGGCCCTCTCCGGGAAGGTCCCCCGCGGGGCCCCGCGAGGGGCCCTCGGCGGCGCCCTGACCTTCCAGAGAGCTATTTTTTAGCACTGGAGGCCTAAAAACCTAAAAAACTGAGCGAAACAGCTTGAAACCAAAACGTAGAAAAGCCTTGGGATAGGTTTTGAAGTCGCGTGCTATTTTTTAGCTCTCTGAGAAGATCAGGGCGGCGGAGGCGAGGGCGGCGGCGGCGGCGGCGCGCGGCGGCGGCGACGGCGGCGAAGGCGCCCTCGCCGCCGGCGCGGCGGGCGGCCCACGGCGGCGCGGCGAGCGAGGCGGCGCGCGGCGCGGCGCGCGCGCGCGGCGAGGCGGGCGCGGGCGGCGGCGCCGAGACGCCGCGGAGCTCGCGCGCGGTGGTCCGCGAGGCGCCCGCCGCGTGCCCCGGCCGGCGCGCGCGCGCGCGGCGGAGGCGGGCACCGCCCGGGGCGAGCGGAGGCCTCCCGGGGCTCGTCCCGAGGCCTCCGAGGCGGTGTCGGTTTCCAGGCGGTGCAGCGAGAGGCGGAGGACCCTGACCTTCCAAGAGGGCTAACAAAATAGCACGCGACTTAAAAACCTATCCCGAAGCTATTCTACGTCTTGGTTTTAGGCTGTTTCGCTTTGTTTTTTTGGTGTTTAGGCCTCCAGTACTAAAAAATAGCTCTCTGGAGGGTCAGGGGAGGCGGTGTCGGTTCCGAGGCGGTGCAGCGAGAGGCGTAGGAGGAGGAGGCTTCCCATGCCTCTAGCCTTGCCTCGTTTTCTCCCCTTTGGGCCTCCGCGGAGGCCCTCGTCGCCACCGCTGGATTCGCCTCGGAATTCTAGTCAGGACGCACCCTGGGAGAGGTCCGGGGAGTAGCGGTGTCGGTACCTTTCGGTTTCTCCAGAGATGGGTACAGGACGAGTGGGAGCCTCCCAGGGCTCGTTTCGCTTCCTCCGATTCGGTTCGAGTCTGTTTCGATGCCGATGCGGTTCGACTTCGGATGCCGACTTGGAGTCCGATTTCTCTATGGAGGCCTACCAGCCTGCCGACTTCCGCCAATTCGACCTCGCCCCGTCAACGCGGTACGATCGAAATGGGTACCCGTAGGTCGTTGAAAGTGGGTATTCTTGGACTCCCAGATCCCGACCTATTTTAGGCGCTCGCCTTCTTCAGTCCACGTCGGGCGGTGCTAATGGTGCCCTGGCCCGAGGTGCCCCCAGCTTTTCGCTCCATTTTGGAACCCCTGGGGCCCTCTGGCCCTCGTGAGGGGTGGTCTGGAGGCCGTGCGGGCCTCCTTTGACATCCCGGGGGCACCTGGGGGCAAGGCTGAGGGACTGAGGGGGCCGCCTTCTCTTCTTCGGAGCGCTCTCCCTCCCTTCCCCACGCCCCGCGGCCGCCCCCCTCCCCCCCGGTTTTCCCGCCCTTGCCGCCAGAGAATTGGCGGTGCCTCTGCCCGGCTTGCCCGAGCGCGCGGGCGGGCAGCCTTTGCCGCGCTGCGACGCAAAAGGCTCTCAGGGCACGCTTCCGCGTGCCGGGCTCGGCTGCGCGTAAGAACGTGGTCCCTCGCCAGAGCTGGGTACGATAGAGCTTTGACCGGGACGAACGGGTGCGAAGACCGACAGCAGTTCCTGTCCGTTGCGTCGGGGCTCAAGGGACGGGGGTCAATGCAAACGGCGGTTCCAGATGTTGTAGGATCCTGCAGAGCCAGGAGTGCACTGACACGGGCTGGGGTGCAGGATCCGGCAGGATCTTGCAAAGCCCGACTGACCCGGGTTTGGATTGACCTGGGTCAGTGGGCCCCCGAGCTTGAATATGATCAGCTGTCGGTGTCGCCGCGGATGTGGTGCATTTGAGATGGGAGGCTGCCTGCCCAACAACGGCCGCGGTCGGTTTGGGGCAGCATTGCATTTGGCCGACATACCCGTTTTTGTTCCGTACCCATGCTGGGCATCCTCATCTCACCACCCACCAAACAACCCCAACCCAACCCGAAGGCCTCAATTTGCCCTCCATTTCCAGTGGGGGGGGGTCGGGAAACATTGGAAAAACACATATGGAACCCGTACCCCCCCCAACCCGAAATTCGAGTCTTCGGGTTGGGTTGGGGTATTCTGGTAGGTAGTCATCACTCATGCACGTGCGGCGAGCTGCCGCCTCGTGGCGCCGGGGCGCTAAGGTCTTTCGGTGGCGCGGCAGGTCCCTGACGCGCTCAATGTTCGATGCCGTGCCGCGTGCCCATCCCATGCTGCTCGCCCTCATCTCCTCCCGCTCCCCAGCTCGGGCGCGGCCAGGGACAGTCAGGAGGGAACAAGAACACACAGACACAATTAATCGTCGATTCCCCAGAGAATATGGGAAAATATGTGAAGTGGGGGGGAAGACAAAGACCCCGAAAACGTAGGAAAATATGGGGAATAGTTTTATTTGTGTGTCCTGGGGCCCCTTCAAACAGGCCTGGCCACCGCCCAGGCCGCACGAGAGGCCTGGCCCGGCCCCTTCTCTGGCCGGCCAGGCGCCGCGCGCGTCCGCCCCCCCGCCCGGCAGGTGCACCAGTTGCTCGAGTCGCTGGACTTGGAGGCCTGTGTCGCGGCGGCCAAGTTTGGGGGGAGCGGCGGGTACGGATGCGCCCGGAAAGGATGGAGGAGGAGTGAGAGGAGGAGGAGGATGAGGAGGGGGAGGAGGGAGAAGCATGAGGAGGACGAGGGAGGCGGAGAGAGGAGGTCACGGTGAGATACGGAGGCCTGGGGCGCGGCCGCTGTGCCGTCAAGGGAGCAACCGAGTTCAGTCAACACATGTTTTCAAAAACGCCTTCGGCATCGGGAGGGGCTCTTGCTGTCGGCCCACGCCGTGGATCCTGGTCGGGAATGCGGTTCGGATCCCAGGTTTGCCTTGGCCATCGTAGTTCTTTCGTGTTTCATATTTCTTGTGTTGACGCGACGGTTGTGCGGATGCACCAGGGAAGCAGGAGAAGGAAGTAATGATATGATTCAGAGCAGAGGAGAGGAGAAGAGAAGGAGGAGAGGAGGACGAGGAGGATGAGGAGGGTAAGGAGGAGGAGAAGGAGGAGGAGAAAAAGAAGACGAAGAAGAGGAACAATAGATGAAGAGGAGGAAAAGAGGAGGTGGAGGGGGAGGACGGATGGTGAGGCCTCGGGTTGCGCACTGATAGCCCCCCTAGTAGTCCCGGCTGGCCTGACCACCCCCCGAGTCTCGGGGGCGGCAAAGAGGGGGGTGATGTCTAGGGGGGGGGGGGGATACCACGGCGGGGGCCATAATATAACCCCCAGATTTCATGGCGCCTCTTCAAATTTCATTACGCCCCTGGCCCCCCCGCTGGGCCGCGCACATGCCGCCGGTCATGATTTGCACTCTTGGACACCTCCCTCTTGTCCGCTCCCGAGAGTCGTCCAGGGCGGCTTCAAGCATTGGTGCCGCCTCCGGCTGCGCCTTTGGGGCGCTCCGCGCCCCAGGGTTTGGATTTCGAGATCGCCCTGGACTACTCGGGGAGCCTTCGGAGGCAAGCCAAAACTTCCTTGGGGGGGTTCTGCGCAACCCGAAGCCTCACAAAGGAGGAGGAGGAGGAGGAGGAGAATAGAAGCGTGGAGGAGGAGGAGGAAGAAGAAGAAGAGGAGGAGGAGGAGAAGGAGGATGAGGAGGAGAAGGAGGAGGCCCAGTGCAAATTCAAGACTCATCAACGATGTTGCAATAAGCCCTCCTTCCAGGTTTCCTTTTCATAAGTTCCTGAACGGATTTATTTTCACTGCGGGACGGGCTCCGTTGGAAGACAACCGTCTGACATACAACAACGCACCAAAGCATAATCCTTGAGATTTCAACGCTGCGGGTCAACCTTACTCTTGCGACTTGACGATCCTAATTCGTGCTGGAACACCTTTCTAGGAGGTCTACACCGCGAATCAATGTGACTGTCGCGCCCTGACAATGCTATCCCGTGTCGACACATTATCTTCAGTACGTCATCCCCCAGAATCCTTGAACCTGTAGTAGCAATGCTAAAGCAACTGTGAGCGGCGGTGAGGCGAGAGTCACAGATTGACAACGGGCCACCCTCCGTCCACGACATTGTTGGAACACTTGACAAGAAGGTGCGCGTCACTCAGGCGAGGGCCACAGTTCGAAAAGGAGCCGCCCTCCAGATGTGAAGCTCTCGAGAGCTCGTACGACGAGTGTGCGCGGCGCGAGGGCGACAGCCACATTCGGAAACGGCCTGCCGTCCATCGGCGAAGCACTCGCAAACTTTGTACAGCGAGTGTGCGCGGTGCCGAGGCGAGAGCCACGTTTAGAGAACGGCCCGCGCCCTCCATCGGCGAAGCTCTCGCCAACTTTTCGAGCGAAGGTGCGCGGCGTTGGGGCGAGAGCCACACTTTTGAAGACATGCCGCCCTCCGTGCGAGACATTGTTGCAACAAAAACACACGTGGGAGAAACACACACAAAGCCACACACACACACACACTGTGTGTGTTTTGTGTTTTGTTATGTGTTTTGTGTGTGTGAGAGTGTTTGTTTGTGTTTTTTGTTTGTTTTTTTTGTTTGTTTGTTTTGTTTCGAGCTTCAGGGTGCCCTACTGACTCGTCTCGGGGTGCGCAAGGGATGGAGGAGCAGGAGGAAAACTATGTAGGAGGGAACAAGGGGAGGAGGGAGGCGGAGGGATGGGGCCACAAGCAGATATGGTATGGGTGCCTTCCTTTGACGTCTCCCAGGGCGTGCTCTGGTCAGCATTCCGTGACGGCTCTGGCGGGCCCGATGGAGTCCCAAAAAAGGAAGGGTTGGTCTTGGTGTGGCTTTTGGGGGGCTCTCCAGAGGGTGCGTTCTCAGGCAATGCCTCTCCCCTAATCTCCGAGTCCCCCCAGAAAGTCAGGCGCCCCACAAAAGAAAGCAAGGTCGGGGATGCACCCCGGAGGAGTTACTCGGACGCACCATGGTCGTGAATGGTCTACCATCCCATCGCATATCCCAGGGTCTGGCCCTAATCTGCTGGGACGTTCTCAAAAACCCCAGGCTGTCGGGGATTGGGGTCGTGGCCCCCCGTCATGTGGCATGGCGAAGTCCATCCAGACCTCTCCAAGCATGGCCAAGAAGCGTCGTTCTTGCTTGGCTTCGCTTCTCCGAGTCTTCGGCCCCGGGGGCCCGTCTCTGGACCCAGACCCCCAACACGGCGATTCGCGGCTGCGGGTTCAGGGGCACTCTCCCAGCGGCCCATGCCCGCGGAGGGAGTTCAAACGCCTGAGGTCTGAAGAGGATGAATCCGATCTTCTTCCGCCCCCTCCGCATCATCACACATCCTCTCCCGACGTTTCAATATCTCCCAGGCTGCCAACATGTCTAGTTGTGCTGTCGCTGACTCGGCCCGTGAGATATACTGGACTTTATGACACGTGTTCTGAACCGATCGCCTAATGACATTCGTCTTGACCTGGTGTCTTTCCGCTGCTCGCGCGAGCTCTTTCTGTCGATCTAGATGCACACGCACGCCGACGTGCTTTTCCGCGGTCTGTAGAGAATGGCCGGACTTGTTCTCCTGAGCTGCGTTTGCTACACGCCCCCTCTGCCGCTGCAGGTGTACTTGGCATCGCTCGGACGTGTGCGTTTTTTCCTCGGCGAGGACCATCGAGAAGCATCCTTGACCATTTGGCGAAAAAACCACGCACGAGACCGAAAAAAGCACAGGGAATGTAGGTCCGAGCGATGGCGAGCGTAAGGACGATGCCGAGGAGGGAACCACCGATGTGGCCTCGGAAGCATTTGGCGTGCGATGTGGCGCCGCCGGCGCCCGCTTCCTGCACGCTATCTCCCTTTCCCTGGGCACGGCGTGCACCGACGACGCCCCGGCGAGAGGACGGTGTGCACAGAGAGGGGCCTTCGCGTGGATACAGCCGGGGCGCTGAAGAAGGAACCCTTTTCGTTGGGGAGGGGCTCGGCGTTCCTTGATTGTTTTACAGGTTGCCTTGGGTTGTCATGAGGTCTTCCATGGGAGATCGAAGTTTACCTTATGGGGAAAAGGGGCCTCGTTCCTGATTTAGGGTTCCTTAGGTCAACGCCCCGACTGTATCGACCCAGGGGGGTATCGTGCGTGTCGGAGGTCAATGTTGCATGCAGTCTTTCCACCGCCATCCGGCGTGATTGGCAACAATACTCACGGAGCACGTATAGGGGTTGGCAGACGCGATGCAGAGTGTCATTGGGTCTTAGAAGGATTATGGTGCCTACGCTTTGGTGTCGGGTAGGCTTCTCGTGCCTAGGCCCTGTGAGGTTTGGAGAAGCGGCGTCTGGTGCCCTTCAGTGCCCACCCCGTCCCGCACACAGGGACTTCGCACCCCCCTATATGGGGAAGGTGGGTGTGCGGCCCCCCCTCCATCGACGCCATCATCTCTATAATCATCAGCATCTGCATCTGCAGCAGATGCACCAGCATCATCATCAGCATCATGTTCATCAGCGTCATCACCATAACCATTAGTATCATCATCATCATCATCATCATCATCATCATCATCATCATCATCATCATCATCATCATCATCATCGTCGTCATCATCATCATCATCATCATCATCATCATCATCATCATCAACATCACCATCACCATCGGCATCGGCATCGGCATGGGCATGGGGCATGGGCATCAGCATCATCAGCATCAGCATCAGCATCAGCAGCGGCATCATCATCATCCTCATCATCATCATCATCACCACCACCACTACGCTTCGATCCCCCGAAGGCTCATGGGGACCTCCCGAGGCTTCGGAGTCCATGTGAGGACACAGCAGACATGATGACGTCAGAACGCCCCGAACCGCGGCTTTCCTGATCGCCCCCCCCTCCTCGTCCTCCCCCCCCCTCGAGGCGACGTTGAAAAGCATTGGATCCCGCGTGACGAAGGTGGAGGTCTCCTGCGCCCCGCGGGAGGAGCAGGATGAATGATGGGGAGGACGAGTGATTCGGCGGCGAGCGAGGGGGGGAAATGAGGATGGGAAGGCATTCGGCATTCTCAGAAGGCGGCTTCACTTCGCAGAAGGCGGCTTCACTTCTCAGAAGCCCTCGCGCCTTCAGAGAAGTCTTCTGTGTCTTCGGGGAAGGCTTCGGAAACTTCTCAGAAGTCCTGGGAACTTCCGAGCCTTCTGAGAAGGTTCGCCCCTTCTCGCTCCCCCCCGGGCGCTCCGCCGAGAAGAGGACGAGCACTTCGAGGATCGAGGATCGGGTGCTCACGTCTCTGTAAGATTTTGGTACTTCCTGGGCGAGGCCTCCAAAGACTTCCGGAGGCCTCTGGAGACTGCTTGTACCGGAGGAGAGGGAGGAGGAGGCTCCATACTGACCAAATGCCACCATTTTCACCGTCATGAGAAGGGGGTCCTCCCCGAAGGTTCACGGCTTAGCATGGACCGAGCAATAGAGATTTTGCATGGTTTTGTTGGAGGGGTTCCAGAAACCTCCAAGGACATGAGGGGAAAGGAGGAAGTGCCGAAGGAGGGGGAGGGAGGACGGAGTATGTGGGATCGGGCAGGAGTAGGACAGAGGAGAGAGGGTGAGTAGGAGGAGATGGGCGATGGTGTAGGAGGAACCACCAGAAGGCACGAGAAGGAGCGGGAGGAGGAGGCGGAGGAGCAGTGAATTCGACGAGGAGGAGGAGAAGGGGGGGCGGAGGAGGAGGAGGAGGATAATGATCTTGAGGAGGAGGAGGAGGAGGAGGAGACTCTGGATGATGACGAGGTGTGCCGAGAACGATGCACCAGGCCAAAACGATAATCATAATGACGAGGAGAGACGACTGCAACCGATCTCCTCGAGCGCTTCTGCGCTCACAGGCTGGGCGAGTCCTTGTGACCGCCCAGACAAATATGGATCAGGCCCCTAAATGCCCGATGATGCCGCTGTCCCTGCGTTGAGGGATGCGTCGTGCATGCTCTAGCCCGCTACACACAAGAAGAAACAAAAGGTGGGCAGGGCGGGGCGGGAGCTGCCTTGGGCCAGGCCCAGCACAGGACCCGACCCACGATCCCACCATCACCCAGATGGAGCATGCTCCGAATTGCCTAATCAGTGTCGCTGTCTCCGCGGTGAGGGATGGTGCGTGCTGGCTTCAGCCAGCGACGGCCGAGATCCCCCGCCTCCCTCGCAACGGCTCGAGCGGGGATGGGCACATGCTTCTTGAAACCATTCCTCTCCTTCTCACCTGACGGGCCCCGTCCCTGGATGAGGTACCTACGCTTGAAGTGCCTCGCGGACCCCCAGACAAGGTCTCCCAAGACAAAGTTTGGAGATCAAGAAGGCATTAGAAACACCCCTAGCAGCGCATTCAAGTCACCAAACCATGGGACCAGTCCGCCAGAGCTTGTGTGACGGGTGCGCTCCACGGACCCTTGTGGGGTCCCCAAGGCACGGATCGAGAGCCAGGTCCCAACGACGAGTTCGGTTACGGTCGGACTTGATTGGAGAGGGCACGCGAGAGGACACAAGACCCTCCCGAGGGCCACGTCGCCACAGAAATGCGGGAGGCATGGGTCGCAAGACACAGGACACGAGGGTACCCTTGATCTGGCAGGGCCGCCTGTCTCTCCGCACCTGCCGCACACGCATCGCCCCTGGAAGAGCTCCCTCGGGTGCCCACAGTCTTCGCTTAGGTTCTGAGCCAGGGCCACGCACCGGCCTCCCCTCGCTCGCTTGCTGCGCACCCTTTCCGCCCCTCCTCTTGGCTCGGGGGTGGACACGCCTCCCGCCTTGACACGTCGAGCAGCGAATTGGCCGCCTTCGGGTCGCGAGGAGACGTTCGTCCTGACTGTGCTCTTGGGGGTGTGATCTGTTGTTTGCTTTTGCCACTGAGAGACTCGGCGTCTTGGCAGCCACGTTTATCGGAGGTCGATAGACCTCCTACCCTGGCACGTCGATTCAGGAATTGGCCGCTTCCGGGTAGCGAGATGGCATCCGGCCGTCACTTTTGCGGGGTCCAGGCCCGTCGGTTTCGGCCCCGGGCCGCTTTCACGAAAGCGAGGTTTGCTATAGAGGGAGGTTTTTGTCCACCGCCGACTTGGCACAGCCTGGGGATGCGAAGGCCGCGCCTCGGGGCCAGTGTCACCACTCACCAAACCACCCCAACCCAACCCGAAGGCCTCAATTTGACCTCCATTTCCAGTTGGGGGGGGGTCGGGGAACATCGAGAAAACACATATGGAACCCGTACCCCCCCCAACCCGAAATTCGGGTCTTCGAGTTGGGTTGGGGTGGTCTGGTACGTAGTCACAGTGGGGCTGCCGCCTCCCCTGAGTGCCCGCAGCTCCTCGAGCGGCCGCCGACGAGGGTGGCAGGCGGCGCCCTGCCTCTCGCACGCCCGGGAGGCGTCCACGCCGCGGCTGCCGGCCTGCGCCCGAGCCATGCGCGAGGGAGCCCAGGCCGCGTCGATCTCTCCGGCGCCAATGTCGAGCACGACGTCCCAGAGCCCCAAAATCATCAGGGGCAACTCGGGTCAGGGCTAACTCGGGCTCGTTGTTCGGGAGTCCGAGCCCGAGTTGCCCCGGGCCCGAGTTGCCCCGGACAAGTCGGGCGTCCCAGAGCCCCAAAATCATCAGGGGCAACTCGGGTCAGGGCTAACTCGGGCTCGTTGTTCGGGAATTCCGAGCCCGAGTTGCCCCGGACCCGAGTTGCCCCGGATAACTCGGGCGCCCAAGTCGATCTCTCAGGCGCCAATGTCGAGCACGACGTCCCAGAATTTCTTCCACGATACCATGTGCTGACGCTTGGAGCTGCAACCGCAGGGGGGTATCCTTCTGCCCATGCCTGCCAGAGGTCTCCGTAGCCGCGACCATCGTGCTTCGCCCTTCTGGCTTATGTTTTTCAGCGTGTTGATGACGGCCCAGATCTTTCCAGCTCCTGATGACTGCCACGGGTATGGCACTGGCCCCGACGCAGCCACAACCGCATCACCCATTCCATTGCTCGTGACAAGGAACCAGCCAGCACGTGCCCGAACTTCGCATTGTGGGTACACGTAGCTGCCATCGGTACACACCACACCACTGATGAGCCCGCTGACTGTGCACACGTGCCAGTTGATGATGTCTTCCGTGGTCGGCAAGGGCAAGTCGAAGGTGGCATCGGGCATGAGCCCCTTGCACTTGGGCATGTTGATGGGATGTTCCTGTCCGTGATCGCGTCTACCCCACAACGACAGCCTGCACTCCTCTGCGGTCCAACTATGCCTCTCCACTGCGTGCCAGTTGCACCTGTAAATCCGATGAACGTCCGTGCCACCCTCACTTCCACACATCACGCAAATAGGGCCTTTCACCGCCCTGTTTTTGAAAAGCCGCGCCTGACAGACAAAATATACAATAGGTAACCAAGTGCTTGCCAGCCCGGCACCTCTAAAATCGCCTCGGCGATAAAGAGCACCGAAGGCTTTTTGTTGGCGGGCTGCAGCAAGTGTGGACCCATGAGGCCCTCCATGCCGCGACTTCTGGGGATCTCGGCCATCAGACGCCAGAAGAGAGCTTGATTGATGATCTTCCTGAGCCTAGATGGCCCCAAACTGTGCAAGTCCAGCGCCACTCCACGCTCAGGAATCCAGCGATCCCCAGAAATAGCATGCCATCCCCAGCTTTCTCAAGGTCATGATGGCAGCACCTGCTGGCCCTCGAACCCCGCGCCAGGACTGGATCTGGTTCTGCCGGTTCATGCACGCCGGAGCCACTGCTTCGTGCCGCGCCCTCTTCCGACGTAGAGCCCGCGGCCATTGCGCCATGAGTACTCATCCGCAACAAAGGTGGGATGGCGCGGCACCCCTCCCTTGCAGCCCCCAAAAGTGAGCGTGCAGCAATGGCCCTCGCCTGATTGAGCTGCGCGTCAGTCACGCCTGTCACTTTGATCGCGCTGCGCCACTGAAGCCAAGCCACCGCCGCGAGATAATCTGCCCAACCGCCTGCCTGCAGGTGCCAGTCGACGGAATCTAGCAATCCTCTTGGATGTTTCTGTGGCCCGCGCTCGCTGAAGGGCCCTGTCGCGCCGCGTCTCATGGAGCGGTCGTGCCCCAGTTGCCGCGATGCTTTGCGTCGCCTGAACTGGTACTTCTTGAGCGCAATGACTATCTCTCTCTCGAGCTGGAGCGACGCGGCAGTACGTGTCCTTCGTTTGGGCTGATCTCCAACCCTAGGTCCATTAGATCAGCCCGCAACCGTCTGTCCGCTTGAACGATGATTCTCAGCATTTGATCGTGACAGCCCGTTGCTTGGAGGCTGCCATCATTAACGACCTGCATAATGCTGAGAGACGGCCATGACGGGCATATTTGTTCGCATGCCCCGAGCGCGAATAGCATCATCATTGCGATGGCGAAAGAATATCCAGCAATGACGCCATTGTCCGTCATGCCAATATCTGAAACCAAACTGCCGAATATGACCGCTTTCCTTCCCGCACACGACTTGAGAAGCAATGGGCGCCTCGAGCGCTTGATCCCGCGCGTGCGCCCGACCTCCCTCAACTTCGCATGCGGCATCTTTTTGAGATCCAGCACGACAGTGGCCGCGCGTCTTTCGAGCGCCAAACCTGCCTCAGCCATGGCGGATTGCGTCCGAACCGCCTGCTCCGAGCTCCTCCCTGCGATCGCGTAGCGATCTTGATATTCGCTCCAAGCCACTCGTCTCGGTCCCTCTTTTTGAACTTGTTGTAGATCCCCACGGTGTCTGCGAGTAGGCCAACGGGTCGGTGACCACCTTCTGGCTCGGGCAATCCGGGCGTGATGGCGGCGGTCATCCGAGGCGGCAGTTCACCCATGGTTCCCGCGACCTCCATGTTTTCAGCGAGCGCCTCCGGCGAGCCATCTGATATCATCGCCATGTTGCGCAGTCCGAGGTTGCCCACCCCGGAAGCCGTGCCACGCTTGAAACTGCTGGCCA